AATGCTCAAGGAATTTGGTCTCCTGTGCTTGACCTATCTGCACTATCAAGCTTGACCTTGATGACACAGAGATCTTCATCATGGGTGTGTGCATGTGCATGTTCAGTTTTATCTGAGCACAGATTCACGATATCTAGGACCTCTTACAATATATAAACCTATCTGCACTTGCTTGTATGGACACACATGTGAGTCCATCACAATGACGAATACATGTCAGAATATAACTCTTGTGTAAAGAGTTGGGGGCAGAAAACAACAATCCAGAGGATCTGAACTAAATTTCTGTTGTCTGCTATTACTTGGTTTACAGCCTACTGCTTGTTGTTTCTCTTATTTAATTAAAGATTCTGCTTCAGATAAATGTTGCATGGGAGTGCTGTAGTGTGTTTTGCAGTGCAAAGATTGACTCAATCCCATTTTTTTATTAAACTAGACAAAAAGCATGCTTGGTAGCTCTCAGGTTGCTAACTGGATATTGTGATATTTAATGTATGGTGTGCTTAGTTTTGCGTCAACTCAGCCAACAAGATTGCTTTGGCAGATGCACTTTCACAAGGCATCCTTGAAAGCAGGGAGTGGGAAGATTTTCAACTTACATTACCATATCTGTGCTCTTTTGACAATAACATTTGGACAATAATTTCTGTCAGGACACCCTGGACTTTATCAAAGTCCAGAGAAATGTGGTTTTTATTATTGCATTTCACAGGCAATTGAGAATGCCTGGGGGGGGGAGGAGATAATAATTTGAGTTGAGTTTGAGCATCAACCTATTGTGAATTGCATGGCCCCACTTTATAAAGCATCTGAGCATGTATGGAATGCACCTCCCACATTGCTGTGCTCATCCGGCCTCAGTTGTAAATGTTCTGGTGACTACTGTAAAGTGTACAGTATTGGGGTGGTGGTGGTGGTGTGTGTGTGTGTGTGTGTGTGTGTGTGTGTGTGTGTCACCCTTGAAGATGGTCCTGAGGCTCCAACTAGAGCAGAATGTGGCTGCTAACCGAGGCAACCCATGTGACCACGTGTCACAGGTCCTGAAAGCCCTGCACTGGCTGCCAGCCAGCTCCTCTGCCATTCATGGTATTAGTACTAGCATAGAAACACCTTAATGACTCAGGAGGACTCAAGCACCTAAAAGAGCACCTTCTCCAGAATAAACCATCTCAGCCCTAAAATCATTCAGAGAGGCGCAGTTGCCATTCGCCCATCAGAGAGCCTTCTCAGCTGCAGTTTCCCCATTTGTGGAATGCCCTCCTTAGTGAGGTGTGTCTGTTTTCCCCATTGTTAAATTTTGAGAGGAAGTTCAAAATATTCTTGTTTACTCAGGCATTTGATAGCTGAAAGTTTCTGTTCCTGGCATGGAAATCGATTGAAATTTTAAGCTGGGAGAGTGCATTATTATTTTACATGTCTTTTAGATGATTTAAATTGTTTTAAAATCATTTTTAGATTATTTAAATTGTTTTGAAACAATTTTTAATTGTTTTATCACTGATGCATTTGCTGCCTTCGGCTTCTTTGGGAGGAAGGGCAGCATAGAATTCTAATAAATAAATACTTGTAAGGTGAAGGAGCAAGAATTCAGGATTTGAGGGTAGAGCTGCTAGGCAGTTTGAGCCCCAGGACCTCTCTTTTTCATTAGAAAAAAAAGCCAGTTTATTTTTAGTAAGGTCAGAATAATAAATTTCCACATCAAAACAAAACAAAATGTTAAAGTACATTCAATGCAAGAGCTGTACATGAGTAGGCAGACCTAGTCACGATGACCTTCCTCTGTTAAAGATCACCATAACAACATGCTACATTTGATTTAACAACATTAACTTTGATCATTGCTGCAGCTGATGCAAACTGAGTAACTTTTATGGGGTTACAAATTTGCCAATACTGTTTAAAGGAGATTCAGTTTTCTAAAGAAACTAAACATTAGAAACCTGATTCAGCACAGAAGCAACTAGTTCCCCCACAATTCTTGTTTTCATCTGTAAACCACCCTGAGTCCCATCAGGGGAAAAGGTGGAGTATAAATAAGTTATATAGTTCTTATTGTTTTCATTATTGTTAATAATAATAAGTCCATTGTTTGCATGACCTGCCAGTGCACTCCTGTAAATGCTTTTCTTAACTCATATAGATTAACAAAACAAAAAACAAAAACCCAGCCTCACAGCCAAAGCAGCCTGCCTGATCAACTTATACCTTGGCGATAAGTGCAATGTTCACACTACCAACAGATTTGATTGAGCATTAGTGTACTGAAGTTTGCTTTTGGACTGGTATTTTACAGAAGAGAACCCCTGAACCTTCAGATATATAATTATTATTGTTGTTGTTGTTTCTATAGAATAAGCACAATTCTCCATTTTTGCAGATGCAGGGGTCTCACTCCACTAACATCGGAATCAGCCTTTTCCTGAGTCAGGCCACTGGTCCATCTACATCAGGGACAGTCAACCCCATGCTCCCTGGATGTTGTTGAGCTTCATCTCCTTTCACCTCTGGCCATTGGCTGTGCTGGCTGCAGCTGACGGGAGCTGTAGTCCAGCACCATTTGGAGAACATCACCCTTGCTACCCCTGGTCTCCATCAACTGGAGTGGCTCTGTGGGATTTCAGGTAGGAGTCTTTCTGAGCCTTAACTGGAGATGCCAGGGATCAAAGCTGGGAGGTTTTGCAAGCATCTTCTCTTGCACTGAGGCACAGCATTTCTGGCTCAAAGAAGTGCAGGATCCCTTGCTTCTCTCACATGTTTCTGTGCTGTAAGAAATGCCACAGTCCCCGAAAAGGAGACGAGCGCTTTATGTAAGTGTACCTTTGAAAAACACGGGTAAAATCAGCAAGAACATTTGACAGAAGAGCTGCATGTGTAAGTAAGCAAACGCTTACTTTGGCCTTGCAGGTCTAGTAGTCATGCCCATTTAGCACAACATCATCCCATCAGTACTCATGCCCATTTTTAACCAAACTATTCCCAGAGGAGATAATTTTCACAGCTAGGTTCAATGCTTTGCGATCAGCAGTTGTGAGATCGATTTACTAGACTGCCATGGAACTCAGATTTCTTAAAGAAGTTCAGTTGAAGAGTTAGACCATGTTCTCCTGAACTGCAATTTTTATAGGGATTTAAGTTTCCCCTTTTTATCTCCCCAGTATTTTCTCTCTACTTGAAGAACTCAGTTGAATTCTGTTTCTTAATTTTAATGGCAAACTCCAACCCTGAGATCACAGAAAACATAGGTTACAATTATTAAAGTGATTTCTGAATCGAAATTGTCTGAATATTTATTTCTGATTGTTCACTGGTTCTGTTATACTCTCATTCTAAAGGGAAAAATATTGCCCTCCCTCTCACTAGGGTTGCCTTGATAACTGTGCACTGTATTGAAGGTTTATGGACTGTAGACCAAGTAAACTGAAATTAATCATTGCTTAACAGAACTGATTATGAAATAAAATATCATACAATTGACTCTGAGCTTACACTGAGCACACTGTCACCATCAGAGAAATGTCTAAACTGTACAACTTAGGGTGGTACTTCCACACCACTACTACGACATGCATGCTGCAGCTCTGTACCTTGTGGCCATATGAACTCATTGCCACCATGGGATTGAGGAGAGGGTAGGGAACACTGGGAAGCAAACACAGTTGACCAGGACTGGGGAACCTCTGGGCTTCCAGATGTTGTTGGACTTCAACTCCCATTAGCTGCAGGCAGCATGGCTGGTGGTGAGAGATGATGGAGTCCAGCTACCACCTGAGAGCCACAGTTCCCCCACAGACCACACAACAGACTATTTACAAAAGCATGCCAACTTTTAGAGACAGCTTCTATCCACTCTATCTGCACATTTTGCTCCATTTTAGCCAAGGCATCGTGCCTCCTTTGACACAACTTTGCTATGCCTTGTTCCCTTGGTTTGAAACTTGCATTGTGGATGGCCCCCAGCATTTTAACACTCTCTCCAGCATCTAGCATCCAAGAGTGCAAATGCCAGGAACAGCTGTATCCCAATGCAGGCTCTAGCAGGCCCTACCAACATTCTCTTTAGCGTAAGAGCTCTTTGCCCTGGATTGAAAACTAGCTAAAGATCAGTTGATCATCTTGAATAGTACCTACAAAAGGAACAAAGACAATGCTGGCGCCCAATGCAGAGCCGTAAGCAACAGTGCAATCCTAATTATATGGAAGCTCCTCCGAGCAGAGTGAGCCTTATTCCCAAGTGAGGGAATCTAGGATTGCCAAGTTAGAAAAGTTCCCTTTACACATTATATGTGTGAAGAGGGCTCTATGCACTGAAAGAGCCTTGCTGCTCGCTCTGCTCTGTTATTGGGACCTCTGTTCCCTGACCTCAACCCCAAAGTCCACATATCAAGACCTATGAATGTAGAGCTTTGCATAAGCTGGAACCCTGAACAAGTGGAATACCAGTTGCCTGGAAGCCTCCCAGCACACAGAGTTATCCCACAGTCAACACATGTGACATTTATAACCAACTGATGTCATGACCCATGTAGAATAATAGAACTGAAAAGGACCGAGGAGCAGTCTATCCAACTTAGGCCCATTGCTCAGCATTTCATGACTGCAGTCTAAACCAGTGACTTAGATGTGTAAACTGAACCACCAGAGTCAAAAACTACAGAGATAACTTCTGAATTATCTCACTTCATTTTGCACACAATTCCTTTTCACTGGAATCAATTCATACTTCCAGCTTTCCATTCTCAGGTGATGAGAAATTAAGGGCCATAGCTGAATGTGTGCACTGGCTCTTGGAAACATCCACACCTTGTGCTGCTCCAGCAGCTGCTATTCATACTGGTGTTTCAGTGCCACCCTGCACTCATAAGCCCCACAGCTCTAGCTTGTAGGATGGTGTAGCGAGATGACTGACAAATCCAGTTTTCTGCATATTTATATTTTCTTTGCTTTATTTGTCCAAGACCATAGTTTATCTAAACCTAGCTCTTTGATTTCACAGACTGATGTATAAGAAAATAATATTTATGGAAAGTTACATTGGATTGCATTCAGTGACATTTCATATACTGCAAAGTACATTGTAAACGTGTGTGTGTGTACACACACACACACACACACACACAGAGAGAGAGAGAGAAAACAGGAAAAATCTAGGGCTGTAAATACAAAAAAAGGGAGATGTATATCTCTGAGATGCTGGAAAGGCTGAATGTTCACTATTATGGTAGCCCAACATGTTTCAGCTCAAGAGAACCTATAAAGAAACAGATGAGCAAGTCCCTGAAGAGGCTCACTTGAACTAAAACATGTTGAGCTAACATAATAACAAACTTTCATCCTTTCGAGCATCTCTGAGATACATATCCCCCCTTTTTAATGTATACATATCCGCATACATAGTGTGTAGGTAGGTAGGCATCTAGGTTCCATAAAATAACAGATAAATATTATGAAAATATAGAGTTTTTATTTGCAGACATATAAACACTTTTGGTACAGTACAGACATATTGTCAGAACTCAAGAAAAGTGTCAGTTCTAAGCAGAGCACTCATTTGCCTTGTTTTACACAGCTAGATTTGATGGAGACATCTGGCATGATAGTTTCGCAGCTTTTGCAATCATTGTTAAAGGTGTGCATTGCTGATAACCCCTCTGCTGTGTAGCTGCAGAGGCAGGCAGGTGTCAATTCTGGGAAGGTATGTCACTGGCTTTAGGAAGGAAAGTTATGGGCATGATCGAAAAGATTAAGCTAATGAAAAGGAAGGGAGCCAAGAGTCAGTAATTAGCTGCTGTTCTCTCACACAAAATACCCATTGAGAGAATAGCAAGAGCCCAAATTTAAAAAAAACACAAAGGTTCATATGACCAATAATTTTTGTTTCAATATGAGATATCTATTTCAGAAACATTGCTTTTAAAAAAGAAAAGAAAAATTATACAACCAAAGTGATGGAATACTACTGATAGATCATTGAAACTACAAAGCATTATTAACAACAACTAGGGAACACTAGATCAACAACAACAACAACAAAATTAGTTGGGGTGGTGGTAGATGGAACTACAATATTCTGAAATGGAGAGATATTGATCGTGGGCCCCAGTCCAGAGATATCTGCAGGCATTGGGAACTGCACACAAGTATCTGTCCTGCAGGCCTCAGTAGATGAGAAGGATTGTAAGCTCTGCCTCTGACACCGTTATTCACCTATTTGGAGCAAGAGGGGTGTCTGAATCAGACGTTTAGTAGTGAGTGGATGAGCGGAATGTGGAATTTCTCCCTGTCACATCTTTTTGTATTTAAGGTTCAGGCCCCATAAGGACAATGCATGCATGGAAACCATTTTCCACATGCAGATAGTCTTGATGGAGTCGGCATGATGGTTATCAGGCTCTCTTACTCTCAAGTAATAGAAATTAATGCTTAGAAATAACTGGCATTTCACTGTTCCCTTACTTTGCTGCACTTAGTCTACAGCCTTGTGCACTCTTACTTGAGGAGAAAGCCTCATTTAGCTCAGGTAACTATGCATAGGAACAGGCTGTTGTACTTTAGATTCTAGTGGCAGGTACTCGAACCTCTTGAAGGCCTGGGGAAATCTTGCACAGAGGCATCCCAAAAGTTTCAAGAAGTGTTATGTCAGGGAAATTGGCAACAGAAACCCTTTTCTGCCCTGTGTACACCTGGACTCGTTCGCATCCCAGATGGCATATTTATTTGTTCCAAGAGATACTGATCAAAATATTGCTGAAGCAATTTATAATGTTTGTTCTCCATATTGAGGTGAAAGTGAACATCTAATTTCTGTCCATAACCTCACAAGGGGATAATGGGTACCCTCAACAAATTGCACTTCTTGTTAATGCCGTTCCTATATAGAGGGAGATTTATATATTTAAACATCTGAGGTAATAAAACATTCTGTTTGATTTACCAGTGCATATTTTCTTGTCAACTTCTTGTATATACAATAGAGCATATAATTATTATACCTCAAACCCATACTTTTATTTTGTTTATTTTTCCCCTTTAGAAAAACAATGTTTTAAAATATACTTTTCATTTTCTTTTAAACAGACTCATTTACAGGAATGGCAGATGTTGCCCTCTTGTGGTAAAAAATGACATAGGAATGAAAAAGAATTTAACAATGAATTTGTCATTGTCTTACCTTTCACTTTATGAATACTGACTTAATTTATGGGTGGGTCTTGTGATGACCAAGTCTACACAGACAAGTTATGAGCTGTTAGCACTATGGTTTCATAAAAAAGCTGTACAATGAATTTGATTTCCTTTTTCTTCTCACTGAAAAAAAGCTGTAGACAGCTACAGTATTTACAATTACAATAAGTTATAAATCAGTAGTCCTTCATTGTAGCTACTGCTGACAATCCTGTATCTGGGAACTTAATCACTATTCAGAATTATTAGGTTTTGGTTGAGATTGTCCATTTAAAGTCATCAGATATTGGAAATTTCCACAGGCCTTTTCTCCAGCATATGAAGATCAATTCTTCCATTTAATGGGATTTGTACTTCCAAAGTTTCGTCTCCTCTGTGGTACTTTCTTCCTCTCCTCAGGCAGATGTAAATACCCATCCCAGTTACCAATGTTATTGAACACAAGCTTATTACTGACAGGACCACTAAGGTAGGCATACAAGATGCAGATTCTACTCTTTTGTGTGTGGGTTCTATAGAGATTTGTGGTTCTTTTTCCTCGACGTTAATATCAGGTTCCTTTCTTAAAAGGCTTTCAATGTAGCTCTCGTTGCTCACAGTGTCATTGACAAAGAGGTTCACCATAACTGTGGAATGCAGAGGTTCTGGGTAACCATGATCACTAACCTTAACAAGAAGCCGATAAAGGCCATAGTCGTTTTGCATTAGTGACTCCTCCAGAGTGATGTTGCCTGTCTTGGGGTCAATCTTAAAGGAGTCTGGCCGGGGACCTCTTCTCCCTATGATGCTGTATGCTATGACTGCATTCATGCCGGTATCATTATCTACAGCATAAACTTCTGTGATAGGAGAGCCAGGTAGAGTAGAAGGAAGGACTAGGAGGTAAGACATGTTGGACTGCGGAAACAAGACCAAGGGTGGGTTATCATTGATGTCCAGCAAAAGGACAGTTATTTTTGCAGTCGAGGACAAGGCAGGATCACCTCCATCGACTGCTTCAACCCATAAGATGTATGAGCTCTGCTGTTCCCTGTCTAGAGAGACTTTAGCTCTTAGCACTCCTTTGCCAGTGTCTATAACAAAGATGTCACTTCCATTTACAACAGAAAGTGCTACCCAGCCATTTTGCCCTATATCTGCATCCGTGACACTTATAACTCCAATTTCCCCAAAGCCTGGAAAATTCTCTGGCACAAAAAAACTAAAATCCTTGTTGATAAATCTTGGGCTGTTGTCATTTTTATCCAGTACAGAGATGGTAACTGTGGCTATTGATTCTCGGGCTGGTACTCCAGAATCTACTGCTTTAACTGTGTAGCGGTATTTCTCTCTCTCTTCTCTGTCCAGCTGGGTGGAAACTGTCAAAACTCCTGTGACTTTATCTAAAGCAAAATATGAAGGGGCTTCAGGCCCTAGGAAATAAGACACTTGCCCTCTTTCTCCACTGTCAGCATCTGTTGCATGTAGCTTGGTCAAAAAAGCATTGGGGACATTATTTTCTTCAATTGATAATTCTATCAGTGTTTGAGAAAAAACAGGTGAATTGTCATTATCATCCAGAACCTGCACTTTCACTATTTTATTGACATGGAATCCTTCAGTATTCCATGCGATCACTGATACTTCATAGAACTGTTGAGCCTCATAATCCAATGGTTTTGTAGTCTCCAGCAAGTACTCATTGTGATATGGTTTGTATGGTGACAACCTGAATGGGCCGTCACCATCCAAATAGCAATCCACTTTGTATTTTTCGTCTGGATCTTTTATGGTAAAAAATGCTATCGGTGTGTTAACAGGCTCTAATTCCCTCAGGTAAACCACCCCTTCTACTTCATTCGCTATAAAACGAGGAATCACTTCAGGAGGTCTCATTGTGACTTTGATGATGGATATTAACACAGTGATCACTGCAGGGATACAACCGGGACCGTTGGCTAATACGCTCAACCGATGGAGACGAGGAGTGTCACCATTAATCCTCTTGGAGAGCTTGATAACACCTGTGCTTTCATCAAGGTGAAACAAAGTGCGGGATGACTGAGAAACCTTCTGGCTGTAGGAATATGTGATCTCTGCATTGATTCCCTGATCCACATCCACAGCATGGACAGAGGCTATGGGCAACCCAATACTAGAATTCCCAAAAACTGTGACATTGATCTGGGTCTCATTGAACTGTGGGCAGTTGTCGTTGATGTCACTGATGCCAATAGTGAGGGTGGCACTGCCCACCAGTGGAGGGACTCCTCCATCCTCTGCAGTTATGAGGGTAATATATTTGTCTCTGGCCTCTCTGTCCAAGGCACCCATGACAATCAGGTAAGGCGTTCTTTCTCCACTTTCATTTTCCTCCACATCCAATGTAAAAACCCCAAAGTCATCTTGCAGGTGGTATGTCTGGACCCCATTGCTGCCCATGTCTGGGTCAACTGCCGGATGCTCTATAGCTAAACGGGTGTTGACTGGTGAGTTCTCAGGCACAAAGAGGTGGATCTGTGGCATGGGAAAGCACGGGGCATTGTCATTGACATCGTGGATGGCAATCTTCACCTTGACAAGGCGGAAATACTCCTGAGGCAACACCATGACATCCAGCAACAGCAAGCACGACTCAGAAGATGGTACTGGGGAGGAGGAGGAGGAGGAGGCAACCACACTAGAGCCAACATTATCCTCTGTGCATAGCGCCTCCCGGTCAATCTCCTTTGCGGAGGTGCGCAGTTCTCCAGTCTGGTTGTCTAGGTTCACATACTGACCTCCTAATCCCTGGGAGGCAAGGCTGAAGGAGAGAGGGGTTTTCCCCCATTGCTGAGGCTGCTGCTTCCCCTCTACTGTGGCCTCTCCCTCTCCCTCTGATGTTGCCTGGACCTGTAAATCCTGGGCTAGATTCCCGATCAGGAACCCGGAGGGCAGCCCTTCATTGATGCTGTAGAAAAGTTCAGTGGCACGACTATAGCTTGCAAAGCAGTTGAAAGGTCCAAGGAAGAGCAGGAAAACGAATAAGTTCTGAGGAAAGAGATGCACGTGAGGTTAGCAAATGGCATGTCCATCTGAGAGCATCAGTTTAATCACCCCCTCTCCATTTTGCCCCCCAAAAGAGGTCTTTCTGTGCAAGACCTTGCATTGGACCATTATCTTCAGAATTCCTACCAAATTAACAAATCCACCATCTGAGTACATCCTCCTGAAAAATTTCCACCTGCCTCATATTTTTGACCTCTACACCCTCCCAATACTTAGTGCCAGTCTTCAGTCTAAATAGATCACCATCTCCTTCTGTCGCACACAACCACCAGCCCTGAAACAAGAAGTCCCCAAACTCACCATCAATAAATGAAGAGTTGTCATCCCGTTTACCCTTAACTATTAGTTTCCTCAATAAAACAGTCAAAGAATTCGTTAAAAAGAAGCAGTATATGTATATGCTCAAAACCACATATGTTTGTGCTTATAAATCCCCATGCTGCAGTCTAGATCACTATACAATGCCATAAAGGGTGGGAGAAACAGAAGCATATTTAAACTTCATCTTCAGTTTCCTCACTGTCTCAAATGTATTAGCATCTTTGGCAAGCCATAAACAGATTGTGAGTGAAAACAAAACAGTGGGCAGCCATCTAGGAACAAAAGCATAAACCATCGTTCTCTGCATAAAATGCATCACTGTTTAATTTTGTATTTTTCACTTCCATATATATATATAGAAGTGAAAAATACATTATACTGTATATATATATATAGAAACATTGCTTTTGATTATGCAAGACTGCAGGTACCATCCTCTCTTCTTCAGATTAGTAACAGAGTTGGCTCCGTTTGTCCAGCAGATCTAGGAACGGCTGTCCTTTGCCAGATATGGTCATCTAAGATGCCTTTGCCACAAATTAACCCTTTCACCTTCCCTACTGGGAGATGACACAAAGCCATATGCAGCCACAGCTCATCACAGCTTACTGTGCACTGACAGAAATGTTAGCCACTGCTGCTTTGACTTCATGGGTCCTTCCCCTGAAGTTAAACAAACATGTCTTCAACCCAAAGAACAATTTCTCGAGAATAGGATCCACTGAAATAAGCAAGTATGTGTGACTAGGAATGGCCACACATGTGCATCCTCCTCGCTCCCTTTTAAAGCCACAATACTGGAAATTTTTTGTCACACATGGTCCCTTTCATTCTCTGTTAGAGCTATCACACTCCTGGGAGCTTGCAGACCTAAATTTAAGGACTGGGTGAAGGGGGGGGATCCTTTTCTGAGTTCCTTTGAGCACACACAGTGGTCCTCCTAGCCTCATCTGTTTTTTCTCATGCTTTTTTTTCTCTGATTGTATGCCCGCTGACTCTCAAGAAGGGTTGAGCGAATGTGGGTGTTTACCCAGTGCGCACACACTTCTAAGTAAATCAGCATAATAGGATCCTGCTGCATCACCTCCTCCCAAATAAACGCACAGGATTGCAGCCTTGAGCTGTTGTTCTCAATCCTCCTCTCATCACCATCGTGACTTACTCTGGATAGCTACAGGATCGCGCCGTTAAAAGACAGCTACAGAACTAGCAGCCTTGCCTCCTGAAACTGTTGCTTCTGCCGCCTCTCTTTTTACACCTGCTCCAGCGCCTCCCACCCCGTTTTACCATCATTTCTACACTCCTAAAGTGCTACATTTGTCGCGCCGCTTCCCCAGGGGCGAAGTTTCCTTGCTCGCTCCCGCCCAACTTCGGCTCGAAGCGTCCGATCTTGCGCACCTTTCCTCGAAAACGACCCCAGAGAAGTGCAGGCAGACGAGCAGGGCATCCCCCAGACCCCCCTCCCCTCCCCTCCCCCGCTGAGCGTACCGGCAGGTTCCTGTGCGTGGCGCTTGTGCTGCTCCCAGGGCTGGATCGCTGCCCCATAGCCAGCGGCCGGTGCCTCTTCGCCAGCGGGAGCCAGCGGGATCCTAGGGCCGGGGGCGAGCTGCGCCGCCGCCGCCGCCGCTCATTCCCTCGGCTGCTCATTCCAAATGCGGGCATGGAGGCTCCCCGCGCCGGGAAGGGAGGGAGGGAGGCGCGCCGGGGAGGGGAGAGAAGCGGGGAGAGCCTCCCTCCCTCCCTCCCTCCCGCGCCGGCTCCGGCGCTCATGCAAATGCCTCCCGGACTCCAGCCAATCGCCTGGCAGGGCGCTCAATTAACCCCTGGCGGGCGGCGGGCGCTCCGCTCCGCCTGCTGCCTCTCGAGGGGCGCCAGCGCCGCTTCCGAGCGCCGCCTCTGCCCGCCGCGCTGCGCTTTCCGAGGCCGGCTGGCACTGGAGTCTCCGGCTGCGGAGCGCGGGGCGGAGGTTGGAGCGGCTTCTCCTCCCTCCGCTTCTTTCTTCGAAGCTTTCCCGGCGGGAACCCGAGACGGCGAAGAGAGGAACCCAAAGGAAGGAGCGGGAGACGCGGCGATCTGCCGTCCCCAAGAGTCTCCCGCTTGCCTTAGCGACTCCGGATGGAAGTAGCGCGCGCGCCAGGAGACGAGGTCCACGTGTGGATGCGCTCGAGGGCAGTCCTGGTCCAGCGAGAGGAGGCTTCGGGGTCTGGAGCGGAGCCTCTCAAAACGGGGGCGGGGGAGGGAAGAAGAGGAAGAAAGGAGCCCCGTTGCAGCCCAGGCATGGGAGCCAACTCCTAGGAGCCCCCCCCAAATATGGTAAGGGGCTGCCCCCCCAAGTTGGTGGGTGCTGCCATTCCAATGGTGTGGGTGTGCTGCTTCTTGCGGTCGATTCTGTGGGGTGGAGCTTGCCTGGCCACCCCCAGTATTTTATTCCAGTTGGTACCCCTGACCCCGTTCTTCGCCTGCCTTGCTAGCCCGGCTTGGTTGCTTTCCGACTCCTGCGCTCCAACCTGAGGCATGGAGCAGTTCCGTGGAACAGTTGTAGGGAAGAAGAAGGGGGTTTGTACCATGGGCCTAGCCAAGGGGGTTGGGGAACGGGCCAGCTGCCCCCCAGCAGTACAAATCAATACAAATTCGAGGTTCTACCCCTCTAACAAAAGCCTGCGCCCACCCCCACCCCCAATATCTGTGCCCAAGCTGTCCTCGGAGAATGGACTCCTCCCTTTCGTATGCTTCACTCTTGGCCTTGCCATGGCGTCTGCACGCCTGAGGTTTAGCTGCCCATGAAAAATGCACCTTCCAAGTGCATTGGGACACGTGTTTGTTAAAATTAATTAATTTATCACATTTATTGCCTGCCTTTCCTCCCAAAGGAGCCCAGGGAGGTTGATTATACAGAGCCAAACTTAAATGTCGTCTGTCCCAATCGTATCTGAAATGGGGTATGAGTCTGACACAGTGCCGGATTTACATATAAGCTAAAAAAGCTATAGCTTAGGGCCTCATTCTCTTGGGGGCCCCCAAAAAAATTTGAAGGAAAGAAACCCTGGATGCCTATTTCCAAAATATGAGATAAAAAACAAATAAAACGTACATACAGCAACATTATGTATTAATAATTATCTCACAATTAATATACTTCTTCTTAATTGTATTTCAGTTCAACAATTACTTTGATAAAATACATATTTTGTTATGTGCAAATGGTTTTAGATACCTATTACATCCATAGATTACCATATGGCATATATTCAACACAAAAAACAGCGACAATTTGTTGTTGGCAAAGGACAGCTGGACATATAAAGGGCCCCATTACCTTCAGTAGCTTAGGGCCTCATCAAACCTAAATCCGGCCCTGGTCAGACATATATTGAATGATCAGACAAGACATATATTGAATGATCAGACAAGACATATATTGAATGATCAGACAAGACATATATTGAATGATCAGACAAGACATATATTGAAAGATGCCATCATGTATAGGCCATGCATATCAAAAAGCTAGGTTGGCTATGGCACTCTGAGTGTATGCTTGGAGAGGAACCCAGGTTTTCTACCATGCATCAGCACCGGGAATAGGGGTGCAAGGGGCTCCAGCCCCCTAAATATTTTGAAGCATGGGGCTCAGCCCTCCCCCAGTATTGAGGGGGCTGACATCCCTTGCTGCCTCCGGGCACCCTCTGTGCACCCCAGCCCCCATCCAGGAGCCAGGAGGGGGCTGGGTTGAGCGAGGGCAAAGATCGACCTCCGTGTGTCCCACCCCGGCCCAGTGCACGCCATGGGGAGAAGGAGGTGGAGCATGGCAGCTGGGCTCCGCTCTCTGCCTCCTCCTCCCTGCCTGATGCGGAGAAGGAGGCCAAGCATGGAGCAGCTCCGCTCTCCCCATTCCTCACCCAGCGTGCAAGCGCCAGCGGTGGGACATGTCGCGTGACATCACATGATGCGGCCCCCTAATGTGGAGGGCAAGTAGGCGCCCCTGCTACCATGTAGCCCTAAGTGACCACAACGTGTTCACACATATCTGGGATTGAAGGGACAACTTTGAATTTGAGTAGGGGTCTTATAGTACCACCACATTGTAAATTTTGAAGTGAATGGGTCTCATCATGATAGCTTCCAATGTCCTCAAGGAGAGACTCAAAATGTAGGCTGCCATGATGATGTTCATTCTCTCTCTCGCAAACACACACACACACACACACACACACAGAGAGAGAGAGAGAGATGGCAAATATCCATAGCATAATATCCAATTTATTAAGATCAGCATGACATGCTTCGTTTCCTGGGAGTAAACTCAATTTAACTCAGTATTGCTTCTGACTGCATAGGTTCAGCTTGTAAAATACACTGAGCTTTAACAAAAGACCTTCAGGCACCTGAAGTATAATCTGTGGCTCTTAATTAGAAATGCAAACCATTTTGCCAAAAAAAAGTGTTATTATTTAAATTGCTAGTATGAGGTGGGAACCGCATCAGAGAAAAGGAAATAAGTTTCCTGTTTCTGTTTGCTTGTATTTCTCATTCTTCAACTTCTTTTATGTTAACCTGCAGCAAACGTGACGTGGCATCCTCAGCCCCACCATGCGGTCGTCCCTGGCAGACGACCGCAGTGCCTGGAGACAGACATTCAGGTCATGTATCTGTAGCAGTGACCAGAGGAGGAATGACTGTTGGGAGGAGTGCAGGGAGAAGAAATGCCATGGTGCACCTCCATTAGGACAAATGGATGTCTTCATCTGCTCCTGCTGCAACAAAACATGTCTCTCCCCTATCAGTCTCTACAGCCACAGCAGGCACTGCAACCTTAACAGTTTGACTTCACCACCAAAGATGTTTGCCTCCATTGTCTCCTGAGACAGATGGATGCCAACCAATCAGAAAGCAAACAAATTTGGAAGCCTCACTGTCACCTATTTCAAGGAGGGCCCACCAACAAGCAGATGCCATAATTACTCCTGCTCAGGGAAAAAGTCCAGAAGCCGCCATTTCCTTCCACTACACCAATGCTTTATCGTTTCTCTCTCTCTTATTTTTAAAATGGAACAATTCTCCCACACCAATACATTGGTTAGTGGAATTGTTTCCAGCAACTTCACAGCAACTGCCTGCTCCAATTAATGGTCAAGACTTAACGTAGCAAAAGATTAAAGCAAAATAGTTGTCGCTGTTCAAAACTAATGTACAGCCTGTTCCATAATCCAGTGAAGCTGAAGTGCTTGGCTTAACTTCAGTGATGGGCCTGAACTAGCTTTGGGCCAAGAATTTCACTTTAACCAGGTCAGTGTGGATCAGTTCTACTAAGGTTGGGCAACTGGATTCAGACAGCACTTAAAAGAAAGTTGCTTAATTTAATCTGGCTTGTTTTGTGGGTTGCATACATCTATGTGTGGTGCACTAGCACGTGTTGTTTATAGGCTACAACTACAAAGTGCATTTGTCCAGGCAGAACCTCATATGCCTCTGGTGAGCATAACAATAATCTTTTTGGATCAGACCAAAGCGCACACCTAAGTCAGTGCTCTGTTCCCAGCAGCGGCCATTCAGATACCTCTGGGAAACACCAAGCAGGGCACAAAGGCAAAAGCTTTCTCTTGGTGATTTATTTCCAGAAGTTGGTGTCCTGAGGTATACTATTCCCTTTAGGTTCCATAGAACTATTATGGCTGTTATCACTGTGGCTCCATCCTCCGTGAAATATCCACTTAAAGTCATTAAAGTTAGTGGGTGCCACTACATCTTATAGTAGGAAGCCCCATAGATTACAGTGGTACCTTGGGTTACATACGCTTCAGGTTACATACGCTTCAGGTTACAGACTCCGCTGACCCAGAAATATTACCTTGGGTTAAGAACTTTGCTTCAGGATGAGAACAGAAATCGTGCTTTGGCGGCACGGCGGCAGCAGGAGACTCCATTAGTTAAAGTGGTGCTTCAGGTTAAGAACAGTTTCAGGTTAAAAACGGACCTCCGGAACGAATTAAGTACTTAACCCGAGGTACCACTGTAGCTGTATCTTGTTTGAATTTGTTGGCAATTAGTTTGATTTGGTGACCCTGAGCTGTCCTCTTATGAGAGGGGGCAATTATGCATGGATGAACAAAGCTAAATCTAAATCTGCTTGAGATTCATACACCAGACCAGCTCCGTTGCTGGTGTGGTCATTCTGCAAATATCCAGAGAAGTGTTTACAGCACACTTTGCCTGCATGGAGCAATAATTTAATGAAACAATAATACTTTGCAGTGCTTTTTGAATGTGTGAGCATTTCTCAGTAATTTCCATCCCAAGAATGAATTCCAAAGCTTTACTGCAGAACAGTCTTAAATCTAGGTACAAGAACAAAATACAAAGTAACACATTGTACTAAGGTAGGACACCCTGAAAATCATTGAGCTTTTTTTTTAGGAAACCACGACTGAGCTTTTTTTGTTGAGCCAAAAAGACACAATTTTTTTAATTGACTTTCCTAAAACATTTCAGAAATTCCCCACAGATGTCATTTCTGCTTTTGATATCCCAGTACTGCCCGGGACGTATGACAGCCCTAACTAAGGAGTGTGGTTACGCAGTTCAGTAAACTTTATTCTCTCAGGTCTCAGAGAGAGCTCGGTTTCTGGGTGCTAAGTCATCAGGTGGTTTAGTTCACTGAAATGGAAAAACACCAACCTTCCACTTTCATCCAGAGTGGAAC